GGCATTCGATAGGACTCCTTAAAAATAGACTGGCCCATCACGAGACAATATACAAATTCGGACACTAATGAAATTGTGAGTTTTACTTCAATTTATCTTCCGATACAAGAGTATGGGAATCCAAAGAAATGGCGCTGAATTTAGAAAAGTCGTTTTTATATCACAAAACTTACTGAAGGGAGCAGCGACTCATGGAGATTCTTTCTAGAGACACGTAATATAGTTACGCACAACAGACCACTTTTGGGTGGGATTTGTGAGACAACGTAAGGTGGATGTAGATGAAGCGGTTTTGCCAATGAGCTACAGTCGAGTCAAAGTCAAAGTCACGTTGCGACTGACGGTCGGTCAGTCTGCCTCCCTCAGTGTCGGGCCACTGCATTGAACTACAGACCTGTCGTGGAACAAGTTAAGTACTTTGGTCATAGATGCGTCATCAAATCCGACGAGATATAACCTAGGTATTTTGAAAAGGTCCGGTCGCGGTAGCCGAGCTGTCTGAGGCAGGTACCGTCTTCGCTCGCTCGGAAGCACGGACCGTGTTTTCGAATCCCACACAAAACATGGATGTGTTTATGTTGTCCTGTGTTTAGGTGGAGGCCTTGAGACGAGCTTATCACTCGTCCAAGGAGTCCTATTGTATGTAAAAAAATGAGCAAAACGAAAAAAACCCTCGACGCCGTAAGGTATAAGAGGAACGGGTAAAGTAAAGTAAAAATTTTGAAGAGGATGCAAAATACTATACATGAAATGCGTTCAGATCGGGAAATGCTGTCCTCTCACTGTTATTATTCACCAAGAGGTATGCTGCAAAACTGTTCTTAATTTTAACGTGAAAAGCGCTGCTGTGGAATTTTGAATTTAATACCCGATGAGGTCTGAACCACAAACAGGCCCTATCTCTTCTACACCATTTGGATACTGAACCTACTTATGCATAAGATCACTGCAGTGTTCGATGGCTGAGATTAGTTAAATATCCTGAAACTTGATGGGCATAAAGACATAAATATCCCATCATAAAGAGAAAAGCTGATTTCCAATTTATGCGATTGAGAAGCTGGTCTACAAGAACTAAGGATCTTGTCCACATTTCGTCACTGGAATGCAAGACAATATTCTAATATAAAGACTATTAATGAATACTTAAAAATGTGATAAAGTTCAAATTCTTTGGAAGGACAGTAATAAGTATGTAATAATTACATCCACCAAGAAATTAGGAGCACATTAAGTTTGGATATTGCAGGCTACAATTAATTAAATACAGAAATATTTTGTTTCCCAGTTTCGATATAAGAGATAAACTACTGACCAGATAAGATCTAAAAGTTTGTGATGGTGGTATATCAGCCATATGTAGACTTCAAGATAACTTGCGATTCGGTTAGAAAGGAATACTGTAACATTTTCTGAGATTGGTGGTGTACCACGAAGCCAGTCAAAAGTATTAAAATGTGTTTAAATGAAACATAGATTAAAGTCCATATAAACACTTGTCTAATATGTTCCCTAAGCAAATTGGTCTATAACAAGGAGATGTTTTACTGCCACTGTTTTTCAACTTTGATTTACAATAAACCATTTGGAAGGTCTAAGAAAACCAGGTGGAACTAAAATGGAATGGGAAAACGTCAGCGTTTGGTCTGTGCTGATGATGTATATCCACTGTGAAATAAAATAAATAAAATATTTGTTGAGGCCATTGGATTTTTCAATTGACCTAATCCTTCCAGCCGCACTATGGCCCTGGGGTCGGCTTAGCCTCTAGCAGAAATGAGTACCAGGAAAAATTCCTGACGGTAAAGGGCGGCCAGCTAGTAAGGCTGACAATCTCACCGTCATCTGTGGAAATGTGGGAGCCTCGACGTCTCACAATTCCTTAGGCCTCCATGGCCTGTTGCAGAGATAGCTACACATTTCACAGCTAACTGACGCTAGTAAAAACATGGGCATAGAAGTAAACACAGAGAAAATTAAACATTTGCTGATGTCTCCTCACCAGAATGAAAGGCAACACCATAACATAACACAACATAGGATATGATAGGATAGGATAAGATAACATAATATAAGATAGCTTGGCATAGCATAACATATCGTAACGTAAATTAACATAACATAACGTAACTTAACGCAACGTAACATAATTTAATATAACATAATATTAAGATAGCTAATAGAGCATTTGAAAAAGTGGCAGATTTTAGATATTTAGGAACGGCAGTAACAGGTCAATATTTGATTCATAAGGAAATAGGAGTAGACTGAACTCGGGTAATGCTTGATACCATTCAGTCAAGAATCTTTTGTCTCCTCGTCTGCTGTCTAAAAACGTGAACATTAGAAAGTAAAAACTATAAAATTTCCTGCAGTTTTGTTCAGGTGTGAAACTTGGTCTCTGACATTAAGGAAAGGCAAGGACTAAGGCTGTTTGAGAACAGGGTGTTGAGAATATTTGAACTCAAAAGGGATGAAATAATAAGACAACGGAGAAAACTGCATTAACAATTAGCTTAATTACTTAAATTCTTCACCAAATATTATCAGAATGATCTAGTTATGGAGGATGAGATGGGCAGCGCATGTATCACGCATGGGGAGAAGGGGAATGCATATACGGGTTTTGGTGGGAAAACCAGACAGAAAGAGGCCACTAAAAAGACTTAGGCGTAAGTGAGAAGATAATATTCTGACATATGGGCCATTTCTAGGAAATGAATAGAGAAATACGTTGCCACAGAGGGATTGATTACTAGAAACCAACGAATTACGAAACATGGTTTCCGTGGATACGGACATTGAATGTTATAAACCCTTTGGAACCACACCGTTGCTTGGGGATTAATACATGGTTTCCGAGACAACGCATTCATAAGACACAGTAATGCAGCCCTTGGAGTTTGTGATCTCAATTCGGGCCGCTTGGCAGTTCTATAAGGCAGTGGATTTGTGAATTAGTGTAGCAGAGATCAGTCAGAGATTAGTGAGAGATTTGGCAGGCAGACGTCGCTGTGAGCTCTTGTAGTCAACTGTAATTGTAAAGAAGTGCCAATAAACACAATCATAAAATCCAGAACCAATTGTTATTTGTCACGCTAACCCCTAATACGTGACAATATCAAAATGGATCTTTGAGAAACAGAATGGGGGGGGGGCATGGACTGGATTCATTTGGCTCAGGATAGGGGCCAGTGGTGGGCTCTTGTGACTATGGTATTCAACCTCCGGGTTCCATAAAATTTTTGGAAATTCCTGAGTAGCTGAGTGACTGACCGTTTCTTAAGAAGGACTCAGGTCCATCAGTTAGTATTTCTATTTCCTATCTAAGAACGTAAACTGAAAATACAGTCTACAAAATTATAATTCTGCTTGTGGTTTTATATGGGCCCTATGTTTGGCCTCTCACCGCAAGAACAAGCAAGGAAACTGATTGGAAGTTTCTGAGAACAAGGTGTAAAAGTTAATAATTGGATCTAAGAACAATTTCCAGGAAGTTTTGAGGTNGCAGTAGCTGGCTGCTCTCTGCATTCCAAGCCATTCAACTGCTCTGAAGATGGAGGCGCTACGTTCCTCCGAAACGTCGGCCAAAACGAAGAATACACGGTGCCTAAACCCAGAAGACGACTTTCTTCAATTTCCAGGAAGACTGAGAAATTTGCATAATGTGGAGCTTCATAATCTGTAGGCCTACTTTTCACTAGATATTATTAGAGCAACCAATTATAAGGAAGATGAGATTGGCAGAGTATGTGGCATGAAATGAAGAGATGAGAAACGTGTATAGAGATGTGGTTAGAATGTGTAAAAGGAAAATACCACTTGGGATATTTAACTTAGATACTAACATGGTTCGTAACGAAGTAAAATTTCATGGTGTGCTTTAAACCCATCTGGTTCCTGATACGGTCCAATAGCAGGTTTCCGTGAACAGTGAAACGAACTCCATAAAGACTTGAATGATGATTAGCTTCTCATGTATGTTGCTCCAAGAAACAAGTTTCATGAAGAAAGCAGTCTTCTGGGATGTGGCACCGTGTAGATGTGCTGTTAACCGACGTTTCGGAGGAACGTATCGCCTCCATCTTCAGGATAGAAGGAGAAAATAAGAAAATCTGCAAGCGAAGAGACCGTGAGAACCGGTAAAAGCAGACTGGGTCCTCCGAAACGTCGGTTAACAGCACATCTACATGGTGCCACATCCCAAAGACTGCTTTCTTCATAGTCACCGCCGTGAAAATCTCAAATCTTACATCAGCTATTTATGTTTTAACATAATTCTTAAATAGACGAATTACGAAGCTGGCTATGTTTTCGGATTGAAGCACTGTGCTTACTGCAGGAAAATTATGCCAAAATTTCATGGTGAGATTTCTTCAAAGGAGTGGCATAAGACTTAGACATACACTACTAAAGAACTGATTACAAAGGAAAGAGGAATTGAGACATAAAAACTGCGATCTTTTGTAGTCACTATGACCGCTCTTCAGGCCATGTATTAGCTGCTAAACCGATTAGAGATATAGTTGACTAATTTAAAAAAAATTATTTTTTTCTCTAATTTAAATAACAGTATTATTAATTTTAACCTAATTTTATAATAAATTATGTTCTTTGTATGGAGAAAATAGAGTTTTAAGCTTATGGTGACATGACTGTCTACATTGTGCTAAAATATTAAAATATTGAGAATTTGAAGTAAAATTCGCTCCATGAAGTCGGTTAAGATGGAGTCGTAAAACTCGGCGAACCATTTAACTCTTTTTGCAATTATACACCCGCAGTGCACTTGACTGTTGAATAATAAACAAAATACGAAATATCAGTATGTTATAACTTGTAGAAATGCACGTCATAAGTGAAATAATTTAAATTCTTTATTGATACATTAGCCTAAAAGGATTTTCCCATTGTTCTGTCTAATACACTAGGCCCAACAGGGAGTAGTCACTTCAGGAAAAATGCACGCATGTAAAGTGATAATGAAGTAAGTGGAAGTCAGTCGAACTGTATATAAGCTTAGCACCTACTGCCTCAGTTATCACTTGGATTTGTGGAATAAGCATGGAGCGACAGCTTGTCTTTTCTGCACTGTGAGTAGAAATCATATATTGTAAATATCGCATAACAAATAGAGATTCCGGAGAAGTTCATGGAGGTAGGCCTAGGCCCACTGGGGCTGTAGTGCCAAGGGGGGGAAAAATAGAGATTTCTATTTCTTGCACGAATCTATGAATATCTATAGGTTGTAACGTAACTGGCTGTTTCAGAATAAATATTTCTTCCAGGCAACAAGTTTCCTTAGAAATTACAAGAACGATTAAAAGTTAAAATTCGGGACATTTTTCAAATATTAATTAACTAGCTGGGGCAAGATACAGTCTACTTATTTTTGGGGGGAGGGGAGACAGAAAATTTGCTCGAATTCTTAACCACGGCACTGGATGGAAGTTAGGTTCCTGCAGGGCTTTACCGCCCTGGTCTAAACCGCATAGGAGAACGAGTGGGCCAGGGAACCATTCTGGACTGTTGTTCCGAGGGAAGAAATTCAACTTCCCTGCTAGGATCAAATCGCTAGATTAACCTAACCTCAATAAATGTGCACCTGTGCAGCCAAGAGGAGGCGAAGGTGTACTAGGGAGAGGGAATTAAAATTTAAAGTTACAATTTTTTTCTTGGAATTTCTGAGACAGCCATTCTAAAGTTACTGGTGGGAAAAGAAGAAGGTAGTTGCCATTTAAATGGCACATAATGCACCCTACAGTAGTTTTTAAATATTCGCGTTATTTCACGGTATCAATAAATTGGGTCCAGAATTTTATGCAAGTTTTCTTATCCCTGTTCCGCGTTTTCAAATTTCATTAATATATTTAACAAATCGGGGACAAAATCACTCTGGGACATATATCGCATTTCGGAGGCTTTCCCAAAATGGTGGATGAATAGTTACTTTACTAAAAATTGAACTATGTAGATTACTGTAGACCAGAATATTTTACCGAGTGGTCTGTTAGAGCACTGCCAACGTTAAAAAGGCCCTACTGTTTCCATATACACACGGTTCTAGTCTCTTTGAAATGTTGGTAAGGATCTACCGGAAACCTTGTGTCAAAACCCAGAAGCCAATAATCTTCATACTGACCGTCATGACAATTTCAAATCCCACTCAGATAAAAAAACTTTTAAAAGTTCAGAAATCTCATGCTCTAGAAAAATAAATCTTACAAGACTTTCTAGCTATAGTCTTATGTTTCGACGACATTTTCGTAAGCATATCGAAACAGACCAAACTACATAAGTTATCTCTGCCTTATCGTCAAAGGCTACAAGTAATAAAAATTGCCACGGCGAAATTACTGGCTCAGTGTGAAATTTGTGTGATTAGGTCATCCTTGGAAAGCTATCGCATAACTTGTGGAGGGAAAGTTTCAATGAATGGGAACTCTCAAATGGTTGAGCAAGTTAATCACGTGTTTAAAGTACTCATAGTTGACGCAGTGTGTTTTTAAGTCCTGAATGTTCAGAGCCTGTCGACTTAATTCTATTAGTACAATTAACATGGCACAAATTTCATAGGTTACATTGTAATATTTTATGGGTTATAACCAAATCAAAATATGTTACTAATTTTCCATCCCTAAACGTTAATGTAGTAAAAGTTTAATATTTTTTAAAGATGTAGGATATCCAAAAATTCAGGGCCTTTCATTCTGATATTCCGACCCTACACATTGGGCATAGCGATACTGAAGTTACCAAGATGGAATGTCCTCAAGTGTTATGATGCCACACCGAATTTTATGGAAATTGGTGTATTAATGTCTAGAATTTAAAGTAAGTAGCAGAGTTAGAGAGTTTACATGTGTAGAAAGAGGTGAAATTGGAATATAAGGAGAAAAATGAAGACAGGTGACCGAAGAAAATATGGTATTATAAACTTATAGATCAAAGAATAAGTGGTAGACCCAGGAGAACCAGTGTATACTTAAGAGAACTGAGGATTTCAGTTGGCTAATCCTTATATGAATTTTGTCCAATATTATTCTCTCAAGGTTTAGTCCATATATAGACGAAATTATTGGGGATCATCAGTGTGGGTTTCGACGTAACAGATCAACTACAGATCGGATCTTTTGCATTCGTCAGATATTGGAGAAAAAATGGGAGTACGATCAAACAGTACATCAGCTACTGATGGACTTTAAGAAAGCCTATGATTCAGCTGGGAGGGAAGTTTTGTACAATATTTCGATAGCGTTTGGGATACCCATGAGACTAGTTAGGTGATTAAAATGTGTTTAAACGAAACGTATAGTAAAGTCCGTGTAGGTAAACATTTGTCTGATAAATTTCCTATCCAGAATGGTCTAAAACAAGGAGATGCTTTATCGCTAGTCCTTTTCAACTTTGTCTTAAAATATGCAATTAGGAAGGTCCAGGGAAACCAGGTGGGACTGAAATTAAACGGGACACATCAGCTGTTGGTCTATGCCGATGATGTGAATCTACTGGGTGATAATGTAGATACCATAAAGAAAAACACACAAACTTTAACTGACGCAAGTAAAGAGGCTGGTCTACAAGTAAACACAGAGAAAACTAAGTATATGTTACTGTCTCGTCACTAAAATGCAGGGCAAAATCATGACATAAAGATAGGAAACAGAGTTTTGAAAATGTGGCACAGTTCAGATATTTGGGAACAACGATAACAGATCGAAACCTGATTCAGGAGGAAATTAAGAGGAGACTGAACCCAGGTAATGCTTGTTACCATTCAGCCCAGAACCTTTTGCCTTCTCGTCTGCTGTCCAAAAACATAAAAATTTGAATATACGAAACTATAATTTTGCTTGTGGTTTCGTATGAGCTTGCGACTTAGTCTCTGACATTAAGGGAGGAACACAGACTGAGGGTGTTTGAGAACAGAGTGTTGAGGAGAATATTTGGACCGAAGAGAGATGAAGTGACAGGAGGTTAGAGAAAACTGCATAATGAGGAACTTCATAACTTGTACTCTTCTCCAAGTATAATTAGAATGATCAAGTCAAGGAGGATGAGGTGGACAGGTCATGTAGCACGAATGGGGGAGACGAGGAATGCATATAGGATATTGTGGGAAAGCCAGAAGGAAAGAGACCACAGGGAAGACCAAGGCGTAGGTGGGTGGACAATATTAGAATGGATCTTAGAGAGATAGGATGGGATGTTATGTATTGGATTGATCTGGCTCAGGATAGGTACCAGTGGAGGGCTCTTGTGAACACGGTAATGAACCTTCGGGTTCCATAAAATGCTGGGAAATTCTTGAGTAGCTGCAGAATTGGCGGCTCCTCCAGAAGGGCTCAGCTCCATGAGTAAGTAAGTAAGTACTGTAATCCTTATATGTTGCGTAAGTCCATGGAAGAGGAATGAAACAGTCGTACAGACTCATGCAACTCTTCCGTAAGATTCTAAAGAACGAAATATATTATTCGTAATGCTAACGAAGATAGTACATAGGTTAAATCTATCGAAGTTCCTGACTTATTGTATTTAGTGATATCACCTCAAAATTCGCCAATATATTAGTGATGTAGGTGAGGTAGGTTTATACTACTATAGCAACACACAGAATGACTGCTTCATTGTGTTCTAACTGCAGGTGTGCGCTTGTTTTGCTGGTGCTCGATGCCAGCTGTCAGAAAAACTACACCAAGAGACTGCAAACGTATGTGGACTCCTTTTCTTGCAAGAGTGATTGTGTCTGCTCTACTCTGGAGGTGCCGTCCCTAGCAGGCGCATGTGGTTTCTCTAACAACCCTTTCTTCATGACGACAGTAGAGCGACTACTTGCGAAGCAGTGCGACCTGGTGGACCCCCTCTCATGCCCTGCCGCTAGCAATAGACTCACAGAACAGGTATGACACTAACAACCATGGACGCTGACGTAGTCCATCCCAGACTTCCATACTGAGAAAGGGGGTATCCAATCTTACTAGAGTCACTGATGTATTATTTGACAATCAATTCTTGTTCAGACGCGAGCAAACATGAAATTTTATATTTCTGAAATTAATTTTTGTTTTTGTAGATTTCGAATCCTTTTACTACTATTGCTATTTAGTACAGCATACACTGTCACGTATAGGATGTTACGCGTGACGAGAAAGACGGGTTCTAGTTCGGATGATTGGATTTATTAGCACCTTGGTTACGATCTAATCATATTTACTACAGTGTTATCGTTGATAGACATATTATACAGTTCACTGTTACAATCTACGGTTTTAAGTCTTCACTAATCGTATCCTGGCAATAGAGGTTATTGCGCTCATGACCATATATTTATTATTGTTTAACAGTTACGGTCTTGTTTTTGCGGGGAGCCCTCTCTGACGAGAGGACGGGTCTGTCTGCTGCTGACTCTTGCCAGTGCAGTCTTTCTCGGGTCCGAGTCCCTTGGGACTCGCGACCACATTTTACTGTCTCAGATTTGAGACTTCCCTTTTCGTCGCCTCTTACTACTCGCAGGGTCACGGTGGAGGTACTCGACCCCGCCTCCACACGGGTGTTCATCCTGCAGCGTAAACTGTCTTGACGATAATTCCTCAGCACGGACCCTCCTGAAAACACAACGTCTATTGTTGTAAAGGCTTATTTACCTCGTCGTTTCATAGCAACATTCGCGGAGCGGACCACATATGAAATGCCGTTCTTCTGTTGTTGCGTGCGTGAATGTTGCCGAAGTTACCTGGAAACGGCCGATTTTTACAGATACACTGCTTAGCAACGGGACTATATGCCACAATATTTAAGAACCTTAATGCAAATGAAAATGTAATGACCACCGTTTATTTATTTGTTGTTTATTTAACGACGTTATCAGTACCACAGTCTACGGACAACCAAAGTTATTCGCCATCTCACTTCAAGCGGTTCACTTTCAAAACATGTTCGTGCTATGACACGTGAAGCAAAGGGGATGACGTGCTGCACCAACAACCCAATGACGGCCGAGCACCGCGGCGCTTATTATTGACGTAGATGCGCCCAGTCTCTCTACAGCCACAGGTCGTGCAGCGTCTTAAAGAAAATGTTACTGCATCTTCTTGATTATGTGCAGTCCGGAACTAAAACCTGATCGCCATGAATAAACATGGGAGCAGTGATAGAAGTGTTAGGGGTGGCAAAAGCCTATCGAAATCTATTACCCTTGAGGAGAAATTAGAATTGAATTAGAAGTATAAACGTAATGAACGCACGGATGACATAACCAGTGCAAAATGAATTCCAGCACTGACCTAAACACCACGAAATACAAGTATCCAGACGAAATTAATTTGGTTTCATAACGGTGCAATATTTGAGCGAAAATTTTGAAAAGAATATACCACTTGGGAGACATTGGCACAGATGAGACAAAAATTGTAAAGTCGAACATAAAGGGCTAGAGTGAGCGGGTTTGAATTGGTTTCGCCTGACTCAGGATAGGGACAAGGGAAAACGGTAATAAAATCTTGGTTTCCATTAAAGCCTGTAACGTCGATTAGCTGAGTGACTGCTAACTCCTCAGGGAGAGCAGTGCTCCATGGAGATGGTTATCTGTGTAACATAATCCCCGCTTTACTTGAAACTCAAATCTAATACCATGAATTTTTCAATAAAATCCCAGTTTTCATTAAAAGATATGTACGTGGCATAAAGTAGGCGTACAAATCTCTATAGGTCTGTTTGAGATGTCATTCTATACAGTGCTATTTAACGAAACACAGAAATATAACCTGAATGTAAAACTTGTGTCTGCATCAGCAGTAAATGAATATGAAGGCCACCGAGTTCAAATTCGTTGGGGATAAAAGTAAAAAAAAAAAGTAAATTTGTCCCTATGCTTAATTAATTAAGCACTAAGACATGAAGACATGGGGGAGCGGAGACGTAACTTCACTAATCTTGACTTCGACACTAGATGAGTGTTGTCAGTTTCACGACTCGGCCGCTTTACCGCCGGGGAAAGAGCCCCCGGCAACCATTAGACTGGAGGCTGGGTGGGGCTCAGAGCCGGTCTGGAAACCCATAGCCCGTCGCCATTAAACTTGCAGAGGATGCATTTGTAAAATATGTTCATTCAGGTAGGGAGAGCCTTGTCACTCTTATGTTTCGCTGTAAATTAATAAGGAATTAAAAATATTTCTAACTTACTGCAACTCGGTGGGCGTTTCTTATCTTACAGTGGTTTACATATTCTGTTCGTTCTAACTGAGTCAGTAGCTTTCTCACAACATAACACTTGGGAGCCCGAAATTAACCTATATAATACTCGTATTAAAACATCCATAAATTTACTTGGACATCTCCTGATGGGAAGATACACAATCAAATAGACCATATTTTGACAGATAGGAGACGGCACTCAAGTATACTTGATATCCGATCATTCAGGGCAGCAGACTGTGATACTGACCACTACCTGGTGGTAGCAAAGGTTAGGGAAAGACTGGCAGTGAACAAAAAACAACACACAGAGTTCATATGGAGAGGTTCAATCTCAAGAAATTAAATGAGGTAGAGGGTAAAGAGCAGTATCGTGTTGAAATCTCAAATAGGTTTGCGGTTTTGGAAAACTTGGAAACTGAAGTGGATATTAATAAAGCTTGGGAAACTATTAGAGAGAATATAAAAATGTCTGCCACATAGAGTCTAGGTTATTATAAACCGAAGAAGCATAAGCCATGGTTCGATGAAGGGTGCTCAAAATTAT